AACCAAATGTAGAAGTCAACTTTTCCTGCACCCCAGTGAATGGGCTACAATGTCACAGAGCCCCCAGAAGGAAGCAAATTGTGAACATGGCATTAAAAAAAAAAACCGATCTCAATGCAGATCGAGTCACGAAATTAAGTTTACAAAGTTGCGTGGCGAGGATAGGGATCGTTATGTTCAAGCTGTCGTTTTTATAATCTAATTTGGACTGAAGGAGAACTCACTATAAGGGTCTTTATCCTAGGGGTGTTAGTCCAGAAGGGTCCCGGAGCCACTTTTTGTTATCTGCAACTGTCGCTTTAACATCTCATTGAACTGAAAAATAAGGATTCTTATACCATGTGGAAAGTTCCTTGAGCCTAAGGATAGGGATCGTTAAGTTCAACCTGTCGTTTGTAACGCTCATTGGACTGAAGCAGAACTCACTATAAGGGTCCTTATCCTAGGGGTGTTTGCCCAGAAGGGTCCTGGAGCCAATGTTGTATCCGCAACCGTCACTTTACCATCTAATTGAACTGAAAATAACGATTCTATGTGGAAAGTTCCTTCAGCTATAAGGATAGGGATCGTTATGTTCAGGCTGTCATTTTTAAATCTCGTTGGACTGAAGAAGAACTCTGAGGCTCCGTATCATTATTCTGGTGTGTTAGCTCAGAAGGGTCCTGGAGCCAATCCTTATTTATCTGCAACTGTCACTTTAACATCTCATTGAAGTGAAAAATAACTGACATTGGTGATAAATAAGGATTCTTATACCATGTGGAATGTTCCTTGAGCCTGAGGATAGGGATCTTTATGTTCAGATGTCATTTTCAGATCCCCGTGGAATGAAAAATAACTATAAGGCTACCTATACTTATCCTGGTGTATGTTAGCCCAGAAGGGTGTGCAGTCAAAGGATAGGGATCGTTATTTGTAACTGTCAATTTAACATCTAAATTAAGTGAAAAAATAACTGACATTTGTAGAAAAAAAATAAGGATTCTTATACCATGTGGAATGGTCCTAAAGCCAAAGGATAGGGATCGTTATTTGTAACTGTCAAGTTAACATCTAAATTAAGTGAAAAATAACTGACATTTGTAAAAAAAAAAAAAAAAAAAAGGATTTTTATATCATGTGCAATGGTCCTTGAGCCTAAGGATAGGGATCTTTATGTTCAGTTGCCATTTTCAGATCTCTTTGGGCTGGAAAAAAAAGAACTATGAGGGTCCCTGTCCTGGTGTGTTAGCTCCGAATGGTCCTGAAGCCAAAGGATAAGGATCGTTATTTGCAACATGTCAATTTAACATCTCTTTGATCTGAAAAATAACTGAAATGTGTCTAAAAAAAAAAAAAAAATAGGGATTCTTATACCATGTGGAATGTTCCTTTAGCCTAAAGAGAAGGATCTTTATGCTTAACTGTCATTTTTCAGATCTGCTTGGACTGAAACAGAACTCCCTATAAGAGTTAGATCCTTATCCTGGTGTCTAACCCAGATTATTTGCAACTGTCACTTCAACATCTCATTGAAGTTAAAAATAACTGAGATCTGTAAAAAAAAAAAAAGAAGGATTCTTATACCATGTGGAATGGTCCTGAAGCTAAAGGATAGGGATCGTTATTTGTAGCTGTCACTTTAACATCTCAGTGACCCGAAAAATAACTGACATTTGTAAAAAAATAAATAAGAATTGTTATAGCATCTAAGGAGTCTAAGGATAGAGATCTTGATGCTCAGCTGTCACTTTCAGATCTTATAATAGTACAGTAACTGTCACTTTTATAGGGATCTTGGTGTGCTAGGTTTGTGAATGGAGTCTAAGGATAAGGATCCTTATTCTCAGATCTCATTGGGCTCAACTAAACATCCAGTAACTGTCACTTATATAGGGATCCTGGTGTCTTGGTGGTGTGAAAGGAGTCTAAAGATAAGGATCGTTACTCTCAGATCTCATTGGGCTCAACTAAACTTCCAGTAACTGTCACTTATATAGGGATCCTGGTGTCTTGGTGGTGTGAAAGGAGTCTAAAGATAAGGATCGTTACTCTCAGATCTCATTGGGCTCAACTAAACTTCCAGTAACTGTCACTTATATAGGGATCCTGGTGTCTTGGTGGTGTGAAAGGAGTCTAAAGATAAGGATCGTTACTCTCAGATCTCATTGGGCTCAACTAAACTTCCAGTAACTGTCACTTTTATAAGGATCTTGGTGTGCTAGCTTTGTGAATGGAGCCTAAGGATAAGGATCGTTATTTTAGCTATGTGACTGTCACTTTCCAATCTCCTCAGCTGTCATTCTGGCGAAAATAAGGATCGTTATGTGGTAGCTCAGCGATCTAAGCTTTTTTGTTTGGGGGGGGGGGGGAGTGCTAGCAATTAGCATTAACCCTTTGTGTGCCGAGGTCAGAAGAGAAAAGAAAAGTCAAGGGTTCCTCACCTTCCCTGCAGAGTCCAATTCGGGGTCCAGGCTGTTGCCCTCTGGGTGAGGGGCAACGTTTTCATTTTTCCAATACATGGAGTCAGGGCAGTGCCAGGGCTAGCAGGGGGGCTATGAAGCAGCTGGGTCCAGGTTGGGGGGGGGGTTACAATCCACACATAGGGTTCAGTCTCTGGTTGAGGGGCTCCAGCTTAGCAGCCCTACAGTCTTCATGTCCAGGACTGCTGTGCCTGACCACCAGAAGGGGAAGCTGGGACTGCCAGGGGGGACGATTGAGCACTCTTCCTTCCACTTTCCTGTTGGATGAGGCGGAGAGGCAGGAAAAGATGGGAAGGGACAAGCAGAGGCTCAGAGGCTGGTCAGCAAAGTCTCCAAGAACAACGGTTCTGAGGTCCACCTTCACCAGGAGAAGATTCACCACCACCACCACCACCTAGGACCATCCAGAGAACAACCAGGTGACCCCAGCAGCTTCCTGCGCTTAGATGACACCACAGCCCCCCCAATGGAATGTTATGGACACAATCACTCAGCTGGAGAACTCGGGGCCCCCAATGTGGACCTTGTCTGCCACAGGACTCCCCACAGTGACCGTGCTGACCATGTCCAGGGCTCCCGGTCTGCGGCGTCCTCAGCAACAACTTGGTCTGGATAGTTCTACATAGACAGAGATAAGTCGGATGGATGGAGGCGGCTCAGCGCAGGGACGCATGGAGTTTTCCTGGAGGAGACGATGATGTGAGTTGAATCTCCCCTCCTCCCTCTCTTCACATGATCACCCCCAACAGCTCACTGAGAAGAAGGACTGGTCCCGGATCCCGAGCAAACTGGGGGAACTGGGAATTATTTCATAGATTTCTCCGCCCCCCCCTCCCTCCCTGTGTGTGTGTCAGTCTGTCTATATTCTTTCTTTCTCTCTATTAAAT